GTAAAAGCCTGCGTTGTCGCAGCCTGTAGCGTTGTCGCAGCCTGTAGCGTTGTCCCAGCCTGTAGCCGTTGTTTCAGCTTGTAGCCGGTGTTCCAGCTTGTAGCGTTGTCCCAGCTTATAGCTGTAGCTTGTAGCTGTTGTCCCAGCTTGTAGTGGTTGTCCGAGCCTGAAGCCGTTGTCCCAGCCTGAAGGGGTTATCCCGTTATCCCAGCTTGGAGCGGTTGATTCGATTTGTATGTTCTCGACAATTTGCTTTGCATACACTTGGCCAAATCCTCTACTCGATTGATTCGAGTTTGTAATCAGTACATTGTGTGTGCACAGTGCACAGCCTTGCCAAAAAAGGCTGTGCCAAAAAATCGTTGATTCCAGGCTTAGCAGCTAGCAGAGTGCAAGAGTTAGACAAGTAGACCTTTGGTTGGCATTCCTAGGAATTCATTGAAGTTTTGTAAAATGTCTTACTAGCTTGTTATGAATCTGGTGTTAAATCATCTTGCCCTCTTGCTACATTTCAAACCATAACCATAAGTGATGGTTTAAAATGTGTGAAACATTTTTCCCCTCTGAATTCTTACTAAATGTCAGTGTATGCTTTAACCCACCAAACTCACTTCAAGAAGGCCTCATAATTGCAGAATCAGCTTTTGTACTCTTTGCACCTTTTCAAAAGAGCCAAAGTAAATTGCACGAGCCACCCCCAGACCCCCTTCTATGTTTAAATCGTGAGGTGACCTCACGAATTAACCGGCAGTTTGCGACAGCGCGGTCAGCTTCTCTGCGGCGAAACGGTTCCAACAGTCATCCTGAACGTTAAATTGACTCTGCCCAATTTTAGAATGACTCTGCCCAAAATGAAAATGACTCTGCCCAAAATGTAAATGCGTAGAATTCTACACAAATTTTAGAATGACTCTGCCCAAATTCAGAATGACTCTATGTGCTACCTGGTACATGTACCGGTACCTGGTAGCTAGTGCTCTTTATTTCTAAACCCCCCTTGCGAAAATTAACCGGCGGTTTGCGACAGCGGTCAGCTTCTCTGCGGCGAAACGGTTCCAACAGTCATCCTGAACGTTAAATTGACTCTGCCCAATTTTAGAATGATTCTGCCCAAATTACTGTATGTATTTCTGCTTTTGCTGTCACTTAATTGGCAAATAGCTAATACTTACTGCCATGCGCTCTCAGAATGTATACGTGCTTTAGATAGCTGCTGCGTAATGGTCTAATCTACCTAAACCCCTGTTTATATTATTATTGAGGAGTGGAGTTTGGTTACATCTGGCCGGTACCGCATAATGGTCTAATCTACCTAAACCCCTGTTTATATTGAGGAGTGGAGTTTGGTTACATCTGGCCGGTACCGCGTAATGGTATAATCTAAATAACCCAAGTTTTCAACCATACCATACGGGCAAACTCTGCTACCGGTAACCCTAACCCTCCAAAAAGGACAAAAAAAAAGGGACGACCACCCTGGTTGGCGATTACTGTATTTCCGCTTTTGCTTCATCTGCCACACGTGACGGTACGGTTGCTCATCAGGTTGTTGAGCAATAGATCCTCACACTCCAACTGAAAGTCGAGTCAACGTGCCATCTAATGAGGCTACCTGTATCGCTCCCATCCTCTCTCTTGTTTCTGTTTGCAGCTCCTAGTAGTCGTGATTGCGTATTTAATAAGAGCATATTAAGATTGTCCAGAAGAAGCTGCTTTCTCCAAATGTCGTCGTCGTCGTCTTCTATGTATACCAATGCTGCTGCCGAGGACGGCACTGGTAAACATAAACCACGCATTCTGTGTCTCCACGGGAAGTATCAAAGTGGTGCAACTTTTTCCAACAAGATTGCGGGAGCTCGTCGTAAATTGCAGCGTGTGTACGAGCTGGAGTTTCTGGATGGACCCATTCGACTGAATACTAGGCAGTAGTAGTGATGATGATGAAGAGCAACCAGACGAAGATCCCGCCTTTGCTTGGTGGCACAAGGACGACCAAGGGCGTCATTCTCTGGTGCAAGAAGGAATGGACTACGTGCTTCATCACATGCAAGCACAGTCCGTACCGTATCAAGCCATTTTGGGATTCTCACAGGGCGGTGTCATGGCCACTGCGGTAGCCTGTACGGGCAAGATACCCTCCCTACGAGCCGTGGTCACGGCGGGATCACCCATGGTACCAGAAGCATTCGAGATGGCCCAACAATTTAAAAAAGAGGCCAACAATGCTGATGACAATCACGACAGTATTATTCCAACATTGGTGGTGGTCCCCAAGCTCCATCTCGCGGGAGAAACCGATGCCATGATACCGGTAGAATCGACAAGACAGCTGTGTGAACAGGGAGGAAATGGTCAACTCATTGTCCATGATCAAGGACACTTGTTCCCTACAAGGGCTGCAAGAGTACAAGAAGTACTCGACTTTTTAGAACAACATGTCCTGCAGTGCTAGCTAGCTAACTGTATCGGTTTTGGTTTTCTCTTGGGCTGGCTGCCCCGCATGCATTGCTTGAAGCAACGCACTCGCTTGCAAAAGCATAATGGAAAGCTGTAGTACATGCCTCGCAGATGGCCTGTTCGTTACCAGCAATGCTGGCAAGGACTATGGTATAAAGATGTAAAACCAAAAACCAAGAAGTGCGTCGCCGATGCAACGAAGGCCAGGTGTCGTCCGTGGATTTTTTCTAACCTTGGAACAGGAAAGCCTTGAGGACGAACTTGATGTAGACGGTCGTTGTTTGCTTGTATACGTCTGGGAACAGAAGGATTGGCTCGATTGACCCTGAATATACCCTGAAGAAGAATGTGGAGGAATAATTTTTTTAAATCAACTAGCTAGATACTAGCTACTTTTACCGGGTGCATGCTACGGCTTTAACTTTTCGTGGCTGCTCTTTCATGTGGTGGATGATTCCGCCAGAGCTCCGATCCTCACCAAGCCTGTTGCACACCTCGATCCCTTGAGTTGGCCAGCGCAAGCAAGATATAGGGCCCGAACATCATTTGCTGACTGAGAAACGAAATCCACCAAATCACAATCTCACTTCTTGCATTACCGTTCGGGCAATCATGAGTGCTAATAATCCAACCTTCATCTCTTCCAAAATGTCCTTCCACGGAATGCTGCGACACAAACGATTTCTCTGGCGATGAATCCTTCGAACGACTGATGGCTTTACGCAATCCACCAAAGACAGAACATCGCTTCGGCGCATGTCGTAGCCACAGTAAAGATTGTCACGCAACTGCTGCACGGAGTCATCATCATCGCTCACGTCGTCATAGTCTTCGTCTTCACTGCTCTCGTCATCGTCATTGGTGGCAACAACATGAATTGTCGTCAATAACTCTCCTTCCGGTTGGTAATTATTCATGCCTACCTCCAAGGCAAACGGCTCTTGCTGACATGTAGGTCCGTCGCGGCAGTCTTCATCATCTTCGTCATCTGACCAATCCCCCAGAGTTCCGACAAATCGAAGCGGCAGAGGAGACGGTCGCCGAAATCCCTTCCAGGCTTGGTAACATCTCTTGTTCGTCAAGGCGAGATGGAACGATGTTGTGTTGTCATTTTCCAGCCACGAGAAGACCTCAGAAAGCAGTTTGGTGTTGAGCGATTCCATGAATTGAGGAGATTTTTGTTGCTGTTGTTGTGATTGTGAGACGAGGGCGTTGTTGTCGTTGCTGGTAATTGAAATTGTGGCAGCGATGAACATGCTGTTGGTTGCATGTGTTGCGGCGAAGGGTTCCAGTACGACCTGCAGTTTATTGCGGAATATGCCGCAATAGTCATTCGCGCGAAAATCTGAAGCTGAATTCCCGTGATCCTTCCACATCTATCTCTCGCATAGCATGATGTCTTTGGCGACCAAGTGCCAGAGCTCACCAAAAATTTGGCCTTGCAAAAAATCGAAACATGGTGACACTTCCGAATGGGTCGTGCATCGCACGCATATCGCATAGTGGCTCGTTCTTGCCTTGTCGGATTGTAATCATTCTGGTTTCAAGCCGACCGCAGCCAACCTACACTGTGCAGATAGCTAGCACTGTGACCGGCTGGCCAGCGGCAACCCGGGGACACGAACCAATGCAACGCAACCATTTCAAATTAGATATTGCGTGGTTTGCTGCCATGGTAGAACTCGGCGAATTGTCACTGTTGGTTGAACAGGCTAGGCCCCCGCCACGACGGGAATTGTAGCACTGCACCAAGGCGCTGCCCCCTTTCGTGCCAAGGTTTCCAAACGGTAGAAGGAAGGGGTAGTAGTGCCGGGGCCTGCCGTTGTGGGATTGCTGTGGCGCGGCCAGCACTCCGGCATTGTGGGAACTCGAGTAGACTAGAGGTACTATACCGGTACGCTGGAAATGTCAGCCGAATACTCTTTCCCAAACTGGATTTGACAGGCAAAAATGTCGTTTGCGTTCTGCAATGATGGACAATGTAGCATCCCATTGGCGAATTGCGCTTGCTTGTCCGCGAGCCTGGCCGAGCTGCGTTGTCTGAAACGCCAACATCGTACCCGGTAATCTCTTCGGTGCCGTAACTGCGTTCTCTTGAGCAGTCTGCTGAGTCCACCCGAATTTTACGCTCTGGACTACCTTCGATGCACACAGTACCGTATACCGCAGTAGCTAGCTAGTAGCTTCCTCTTCGTTGTCGTGCCGTCGCGATAAACGGAGCTGCAGTTGCAGTTCTCGTCATGCATTGTTGCGTCTTTCGGGGACTTCCTGTCTACCTTGCTGTGATCTTGTGCGGCGCTGCTTCGTTCGCGGGGACTTTGAGCCTTGAAGACGTCGCAAAAAAAAAAGCAAGAGGGTCCTTTCCCTGTTGGGTACAGCAGCAGAATTTTGTGACTTCGATCTCGTGCGTTCCTTCAACGGCGGGTTGACTCTGGCAAGGATATTCATGGTTGAAGTGGTGTGGAGCTGGCCCTTTCAAGAGGGGCGAGCACCGATGGAGCCAAGCATTTTCGAGCTGGTCATGACAGTGGACTTTCTCCCAGATAAAAAGCCTTCATCGTCCGATTCCATTCAAACTACATTGTAGGTTGCTGCATCTCGAGTTTGCGATATCTGCTCAGCCGAGACTCCAGTGCAAGCTTGCTCCAGGGCAGCGTACACAGGTCCTCCATCATGTGGCGATGGGTGCAGTTCCCAGATGTCTTCAAGCGCCGCTGGGGGTGCCGATGTGCTGTATTGATGCGTGGCAGAGGGGAGAAGTTGCCGGTCAGCTGTCGTTGGCGTCTTCAGGGTTGGCGGTGCTTCACACCTTGCGGTGAACTGAAGAAAGGAATCTAGTAGATAAAAACCCACGAAGGGCTGTTTCATAATATGCATTTTATTTTCACAAAAGTTAACTGCGGTGAAACAGCAACATCAACCAACACAAAAATCAAAAGCGGACATTCACATTCTGCGGCCAAGTGTAGTCGCAGCGTTCAACTGTCCTTTGTAACCCAAGTAACCCAAAATTCAATAGAACCCAAAATTCAAAAGATCCCCAAATTACTTAACCCAATAGGATGCCGGAAGCCAGAAGAGGGAGGGCGTTCAAAAAACTGGAAGGTCGCCTGTGAAGAAATTTAACAGTCGATTTCTTCCTCCATTTCTTCCATGATGTGCTTGTCGGGTTCAGGGACAACAAGGATACCGTCACCACCAACAGCACCCTTCTCAGTCTCAACAATTTCGTCCTGGCCACAGAAGAGAGCAGAGTGTCCCTTGATGTAAATGGCACCGGAAAGAACAGCGGAGATGATGATGACAATTCCCATGAGAATGAAGGCATCATAGTATTCCAAGTTGCGGAATCCAAGTCCAAACAAGACAGCTCCAGTGTTTCCTCCAGCTCCGACAATTCCAGCAATAGATCCAGTGGCAGGAGGGTCAATGTAGGGAACAATTCCGTAGGAAGTACCTTCAGCAGCCTGGACATTTAGACTGAAGAAGACCATGACCACAATGGCAAGTCCAAGGGATTTAGTGTTGGCAAAGACAAGGACCAGGATACCTTCAGCAAGAAGAAAGAAGGTGTGGACAATGATACGACCACGCATTCCCATCTTAGCATTTGCCTTGTCACTGGCCCATCCTCCAAGACCACGGGCAAAGAGATTCATCCATCCAAAAATGGAGGCAATGGCAGCAGCAGATTCAGTGGACTGTCCAAAGACTTCCTTGAAGTAGAGAGCTGCGGCATTGTTCATGGTCAGTTCAACTCCGAAGCAGCAGGCATACTGGATGAAGAGCAACCAGGTGTTGACGTTGAAGGCGCCAGCACGGAAGGAAGCTCCAGCAGAAACCTCAGCCATGACGCCATGCTTCTTCAATTCATTGTAGTTTCCCTTGGGAGCATCGTCACCCAAGAAGTAAATACTGATTCCAAAAGCAAATCCAACGACAGCAGGGATAATGCATACAGTCCTCCATGCCTTCTCGGCAGGATCCTCAGAGTTTTTGAAGATTTCCTTGAAGAGAGGGAAGAGCATGGTTCCCATGACAAGCTGTGTAACACCTCCTCCCAAGTTTCCCCATCCTCCACAGAGAGCATTGGCAGTACCAACAACCTCACGGGCAAACATACGAGAAGCCCAGTATTGGCACATGACAAAGGTAGATCCACCGAATCCAATGAAAAGACGGAGGACAGCAAGAGTGGCAGCACTGTTGACAGTTCCCGTCAAGGCACAGGGGATGGAAGCAAAGCAAAGGATAATAGTGTAGGGGATACGGGCTCCAAACTTGTCGCAGAGAGGACCATTGATGAAACGCATCATGATGGTTCCTCCAACACCCACAATAGAAGAAGTCCAAACTTCTTGTTTGGTCAGTCCAAGAGTCTTCTTGATCTCGGAAAGAAGAGGGGCAATGGCGAACCAAATGAAGAAAGCAATGAAGAAACCTGCCCACGAAAGATGGAAGGCACGCATGTGGGGACGGGCGAAAGAACAGAGCTTGATTTCTTTGGCTTTGTCATCTTGATCAGGGTCAACCTCAAGATGGTACTCAGAGTACTTTTTCCATTCGGTCTGTGGAGAAAAAGGCAGATGGTTGGTTGGAGGTAAGAATAATTGGATGACAAAAAAACACAATGTCATTGGCAAAAATTACTGAGCAATGCCGGCCACTTACCGTTTCACCAGTGGGAATTTCAGAGGACATGGTGCTTGTTGGTTTGTTGGAAGGAAGGCAAAAGCAAACTGAAGAATCAAAGAGGTTGTCTTGGAAGTAGATCAGTGTTGAAACCGATCCGATAAAAATTGTGAGAAAATCATTTGCCCAAGATAACTTTTAAAACTGAATAACTGATTTTTGGTTTTGGGTCTGGAGGTTTGCTTCCGGCTGCTCGCCAGGCTTGGGCAGCACCGTCGATAGGTTGGATACAATCGTACGAATCCTACTTGTTACGAGTAACAGTAGCATCCCACACGAAACATGTGGCGTCTATCTTTCTCTCTTCGTCAGTCGGTTCAGCGTCACGCCTTCTTTCTCAAACTGCTGCCTCCTTGTCATTGGAACTTTGTTGCGGAAGCTCTCTTGGGGGGAAGGAAGAGGACGAGGCCAAAGGCGACCAAAGCTCTGTGCTGGACGAGAGCAGTTCTGACGTGAGCATCGTGCCTTCTAAGTGACAAGCAGCCAGCGAGCCTACCGCGTCCGTGACTTCTATCATTTTGTTGGCTCGCATCTTGGGAGGCTGGTCTAGCCAGCAAGCCTAGCTCTGGTAAGTTCTTTGAACAGAACGTTGGGAACACAATTCCGGTGCCGTTCCATCAGCGGCATTAAAATATTCAATGCCCGCAGCATGGCTTGCTCGTAGGAAGCAAGAGATTTTGCTTCAAGATGTTTCGCAGAGAACGAGAGGAAAGGATCAAAACGAGCGATCAACGATACACGGATCCTCGTTTGGACGCATCGGTACGGTACAGACTGTAATGTGCCTTCTAGTAATCCTATGAGACAGCATGTAGGGGACTCGCCGTTCCTATCCTAGCCTATCCAAAAGATATTATCTTTGTAGAGCTGGCAGTACTAGTAGTTTGACAGCGAACTTTGGTTTCACACCGCGCTGCAATCGGTCGCAGGAGGGAATGATGCTTGATTGTGTACTGTTCGATCCGACGCTCGGTACTCGTACCGGTAGGTCCCAGTGGGTCTACTTCCCGTTCCAAGGGCCAAAAGACTTTCTATAAAGCTTCAAAGATAGGTACTGTGTGCGACGATGTTATCCAGTCTCTCCTGCAAGCTGTAAGGTTGGCCCAGCCATCTCTACGTTCCAGGAACTTGAAAGCAGAATTAGAGGCACGAGTTTCCGGCCTTCGAGCTACGCGTACGAGAACTGCAAGGAGCACGAGGAGTGTTTTGCAGCCCCCAAAATAAATGGCTGGTACAGTAGACCCATCGTGCTGCTGATTGATGAGAGGGTGCGAGGACGGAAATTGCCCCAGTACACTGTAGACCACGAGCGAGCTGCATTACGTTCGAAGGACATCTTCCGCTCGACCGTGCGTGTACGATGTACGAGAAGCGAAACAGCAACTCGTGCACTGATTTAAACATTGCCAGCTACCTGCCTAATGAGTGGCCTGGGTGAATGGCTTGTTTAGCGGACTGTCACTCTACTCTTCACGCTCGAGCGAGCTGGAGGAATGCGGCACTCGCTCGGGTCGCAGCCAAACAGGGCTGACAGTCAGTTGTCTCGTCTCCTGAAGCAAGTTGAACTTTGATGAAACTTTCACAATCACAACAACGGCAGCGACCAAGTAGTCTACTAGTAGCTACTAATAGAGTTGAGCGCAGAGGGCAGCCATAAAAAGAAAGTTGAACTTATAACGCCGAATACTAGTACATGTAGAATTGTGGTGCATTAGTACGGCGGCTCCTCGAAAGACTGAGACTCGACTCACACCAGAACGAAGCAGATGCACCTATACCGGTACTTCAGCTGATCCCCTAAACAAAAGCATCGAACAAACCACAGAAAGTCCCATGAGCATAATCTCCCCAAAATCACCATTGCAAAACAATCACCAGGAGGACAGCTCGTCCATTGTTCGCTCCTCCCTGGATTGCTTTGCCAACATTTAAATAATGCATCGTAGAAGAAAACAGAGCAAAGGAAGCCATAGCTAGATAGATACAAGTACCATAGGTAGATGACAAGGCTACCGGTGCCACAGGAAGGAGGGAAACCAGATACACGACGGCACGGCAGAAGTCCTGGAGGTGCTGCTGCTGCTGCTGCCAAAAAAAAATCGCCGACGAAGAAGAAGCCAGTTCTGGAAGCTCTACATTCAGTGGAGAGCTTTGGTTCGACTGGCTCGATTAGGTATGCTACAACCGGGTCCCTTTTTCTTCCGGTACACGGAAAAATCTTCTGGAAGATAGCAGGTGCTTTGGCGCGACCAAAAGTTACTCCGACCACGTGGATGAAATGTTGATGAAAACTCTTGAAATTGTTGGGGTGGTTCAAAATCAATCGTTTGGCTTCTCATGTCAAAGTTTTTATTTGGGAGCATAGCATTTTAGTTTAGAACAAGTTTCAGTGTGGTTCATAGAACTATTTGCGTAGCACCTTTTGCTTCGCCACTGACGAACTCTGAAGGTTGACGTGGGTGAAAAGGTGCCACAAAGAAGAACCCCAATGCAGCTCGTACGTCAACCGAGTTGCATCTTGATTGGTCAGATTGCCAAATTTCTTCGTGACTCGGACGGACTAAAATGTCTTTGAGCACCTTGATGGGTTTTCACATTGCCCCATTTAGGCGATCATTAAAACACGAAAACCCTCACGTGGATCTGAAATGCCTTTTCAAAAGTACTATTCAAAGCACAGTGATTCTCAGAACCATCCAACAACATTCCCGGTCGAAATGCCGGCAGTTAGTTGAAGCTGCCGATGTCACAATGTTTTTTCAAATTTCCCAACTTTCCTCGGCCCTTGGAGACAAGCTCTTGGATATCAAACAGAAGTTGTTGATCAAGAGATGGCACTGCTGTAGCCCTCTGCGAAGATGGTACCATGGCACATCTTCCGGATGGACAGGAATGTGAAACGAATGTGATGTCACCGATCTGATTCTAAGCCGGACAGCTCCTTCCCTTGGTGTCACAATTTTCAATTTGCTTCAAGCAAAACCAGTTTTTGCGGAACCTTTTCTTTCGTTGCCACCAAACAAACATTTTCGACCATGAGTTCCGTTCCCACTGGTGAAGGCGTAAGTCAAAACTGCCTGGCCTGGATGCACTGACCATGTCCATTGTGGAGCTCGGGGATCTCACTGGCCTTTTTCTTGACTTTCTTTGACTTACAGGAGGGCTGGAAGAAGTACTCTGAGTATCATCTTGAGGTTGACCCTGACCAAGATGATAAGGCCACGGAGATCAAGCTCTGTTCTTTTGCCCGTCCCCACATGCGTGCCTTCCATCTTTCATGGCTAGGTTTCTTCATTGCTTTCTTCATTTGGTTCGCCATTGCCCCTCTTCTTTCCGAGATCAAGGACACCCTGGGACTGACCAAGCAAGAAGTTTGGACTTCCTCCATCGTTGGTGTTGGAGGAACCATTCTGATGCGTTTCGTCAATGGTCCTCTTTGCGACAAGTTTGGAGCCCGCATCCCCTTCACTCTAATCCTATGCTTTGCATCCATCCCCTGTGCTTTGACCGGAATTGTCAACAGTGCTGCCACTCTTGCTGTCCTCCGTCTGTTCATTGGATTCGGTGGATCTACCTTTGTCATGTGCCAGTACTGGGCTTCTCGTATGTTTGCCCGAGAAGTGGTCGGAACTGCCAATGCTCTCTGTGGTGGATGGGGAAACTTGGGAGGAGGTGTCACACAGCTTGTCATGGGTTCTCTCCTTTTCCCTCTCTTCAAGGAAATCTTCAAGAACTCTGAGGATCCTGCTGAGAAGGCATGGAGGACTGTATGCATTGTCCCTGCTGTTGTTGGATTTGCCTTTGGTGTCAGTATTTATTTCTTGGGGGATGATGCTCCCAAGGGTAACTACAAGGATTTGAAGATGCACGGAGCCATGCCTGAAGTCTCTGCTGCTGCCTCCTTCCGCTCTGGTACTTTGAACTTCAACACCTGGTTGCTCTTCATCCAGTATGCCTGCTGCTTCGGAGTTGAACTGACCATGAACAATGCTGCAGCTCTCTACTTCAAGGAAGTCTTTGGACAGTCCACTGAATCTGCTGCTGCCATTGCCTCCATTTTTGGATGGATGAATCTCTTTGCCCGTGGTCTTGGAGGGTGGGCCAGTGACAAGGCCAATGCCAGAATGGGAATGCGTGGTCGTATCATTGTCCACACCTTCTTTCTTCTTGCTGAAGGTATCCTGGTCCTTGTCTTTGCAAACACTAAATCCCTTGGACTTGCGATCGTGGTCATGGTCTTCTTCAGTCTCAATGTCCAAGCAGCTGAGGGTACCTCATATGGTATTGTCCCCTATGTTGATCCTCCTTCCACTGGATCCATTGCTGGTATTGTTGGAGCTGGAGGAAACACTGGAGCTGTCTTGTTTGGACTTGGATTCCGCAACTTGGAATACTATGATGCCTTCATTCTCATGGGAATTGTCATCATCATCTCCGCTGGCCTCTCTGGTGCCATTTACATCAAGGGACACTCGGCTCTGTTCTGCGGCAAGGATGAAGCACCCTCGGCCAGTGAAAAGGGAGCCGCAGGTGCTGGAGATGGTGTCCTCATTGTCCCTGAACCTGACAAGAACTTTGAAGAAATTGAGGAAGAAATTGACTGTTAAAATCCTTCGGAAGCAACCTCCCTTTCCAGGTACAACTTCAATTGCTTCTTGCATGGTCGAGCTCTTCCGAGTTCCCTTCTCCTTTTCTATGTGTTCCCTTTGTTGGTGCTTTGAAAGCATCCCATATTGCATACTGTAGCTATTAGAGCTAATTCGAACTAATTCGAACTAAATTTTACCAATGATTTATACTATTTATTAGGGCCTCTTAAATTGAGTTTGTTGGTCGGATCCCCCCTTCGGGGGGGAGGCGCGCAAGTTTTGAAGTTGTTTCAAGCATGAATCTTCGCATGGGTTGCAAGTGACTTCAGCGGTACGCCTAGTACCCATGCTTCTTCTCCCCATCGCGACTCGGATCCTTGTGGATACATGAGCTTGTCGACGGAGCGGGGACAGGAATCCGACTTCGACAATCGCCAGTCGCTTTTGTGGTAGTGCTCTTCCAACGGCCTGCACAACGACGTGAAGCTCGAAGCTCGCAGACTCCCTGGAGCTGAAGAAGGACAACAACGACTTCAACAAGGACAACAACGACTTCAACAACCACAACAACAAAAAGTGTATACTTGCCCTGAATAAAGAGCCCACTGCTGTCCATGAAAAGTCCCCCTCACCTGAACAATTGCGTTACCACTGACTGTGCTCCCAATGGCCTTCGTCGCTTTTGAGTTTGTCTGGGATCTGTCTTCAGAATGGTTCAATCCTTTCGAACGTCGCCGTCATGGGCGTTTTTGAAAACGGAGCTTTCAACGGAGTTTGGGACAGGGATCTTAATCGACGCTGTCCTGACGTTGGTGACGAATGCAACAATAAACGAGGAAGCGAACGGTTGGGGTATCTCATGGTTTCGTGTGGGTACTTCAGGCATCATTCTGAAACTGATACAAGCTACCAAGCTGCACAAAGACTGGGATGCTACCGTTGGGAAAATTGCAGCTTTGAACTCCTCTGCGACCGCAGTGGGAATCTTCAAATAGTTCGCCAGCCAGAGTTTGCAAGTAGTTTCGACTCAATATCTAAACCTTGATGTCGTTAAGGCAGCAAGTCGATTTTGTGGTGTACGAAGGTTGAATGCTTTTGCTGGGCTTGGAACCTTGAACTGGACTGGGGTGTGTTTGAGAGGGAGATGTGAAATAAATCAACTAGGCTGCCAACCATGCAAAGCTGCGACCACACACAAGCAAGACCGACCCTGGTCAGCTACTTGGTTGAACGTCATGATGTGGGTTCATGCTATTGCATTTCCTGAACCAGAAAAATGAGATCGAAGCGCACAAGTGACCGTGGCACTGGATGGTAGTTTGCCTGCGCAGACTGGAGAGGGTCCTTTGGTGGCGGGTTCCACAAATGCCGAAGACGACCGGGCAACAATCAACATGCAGCATTCATGTGATGAGCTGAGAAATGTGGGGGTGGTGCCAAATTGGCTACACGAGTGTTGTGGCATTGCATCAAGCGTGGCCGCACGAACTCAGTGTGAAAAGGAAACAGAAGAGACTTCGTCTAACTAGCTAGCTAGAGCTGTTCGCTGAGCATGCAACATGTGTCTAAATAAGGTGAAATTAAGGGAGTTCAGGCCGGAGCCCAATGTTCGAACAAACGACCTTTCGAAACAATTTATTTCGGGCCTGCACAACATGCATTCTTGCCCAGAAGAGGTGGGCCCTGACATACCATTTGGTAGCCAGAGTTTGGCTATGCGGCCATGGCCCTGAAGGTCGATTGCACCTGTGCCATTCCTTCCGATTCTTCCTCTCGTTCCTGGAACCGGGATGCTTTGGATTGCAAGATGCGGTTGCGGATTTTCAAAAGCCGTGAAGACATGACGCCATCCGCGTAACCACTGCCACCTTTCGGAGCTGCTGGGCCACTGGTAGTTCTGGTGCATCCGCTCCTGGTGTGGTTGGCTTCTTCCACGTGATAGGATAGAGCCGACGAGTCGCTGAAGAACTCGTCGTCGTCGTCCTCTTCTTCTTCCTCTGTGTCACAAGGAACCCCGTGCTGTCGCCTCCATGTTTCAATGGCTTGCCTGAGCTCGCCATCTGCCTCCAGTTGGTCTGGGTGCAGTGGCTGGCGGGTTAGGGGATGACACGCGTTGCTGCCAAAGTAGAGCCATTCCAGAATGGCGGCACGTTCAAAGCAGCAACCACCAGGAGCCCTCATGGGGTATCTCATGGGTTCCATTGTGATAGGGCAGACAAACTGGGGTGGAGTTCCCATGGCGCATGCCTTGTTGGTCTCGCCTCCTTGGTTTCTTCGTGCAGTAATTGCGGATACCTTCATCATCTTGGCTGATATTGAATATTGGACTTGACTGGCTTTGCTAGAAAATACTTGAGTGCAATGGATCTGCGGGTAGAGTTTGTGAGGAGGATGTCAAGGTTGCTTTATTCAATAGGTTGTGCTGAACGCCTGAGCAATAAATTGTGAGTGCAACCACAGCCGATTCTTATCAGGGGTGCTCGAAAGATACAATAGACTCCTGTTGCGTGATGCATTCGCATTCAGCAATTACCTCTAATGCCTTCTAATCCGCGCCGAAGGCACTCCTGATAATTGGATCAGGCATCCTTTATATCCTTTCCAACCCTTCTCTTGAACTAATACTCGAGTGTATAAGAAGATGTGAAGCATCGAAGAATTCTTTTCTTTACTCAACGAAGACCATTGGGTGCCCTTGCTTACAGAGCTCTAAAAGCTGCTTGGCGTGATTTGAGGAGGAACCTTTCCCTTGTGCCAGCCTCTATGTCAATGCTTACATAAAAGTCCTTTCCCCGCGTAGTCGCGTTATTGTCTTTTCACGTGCTGCTTTCGGTACCGCATGCACTTCACGAAACCACCACTCTGCTGACCCTACAAAAGCAAGCCCTCATCACTCATCATGTGTGTTGTAGATTACAGATACCAAGACCTCCCTCAACAGTCACAACACTTGCTTCCCTTCTCATCAGGCCAAAAGATCAAGACCAGCAATGAGAATTGCTATTCCACACAACACACAACCTCATTCTTGGGCCTTGAGATTCAACCCATCGAACATTCTATGGTAAGGTTCTGCAGGTTCCAGTGTTCCAGAGCTGTTCCAGCCAGTTGTGCTTGAATCAATGCAACCATCCAACAATGGCCCTCTTATGGCTCCCGAACCCACCTGTACCACTCGTTGATCTGCGTGTCAAGCTAAGCCTTGGGACTTGGCAACCTAACTGCGACTACTATGCTGTGCTGAATGGGGCGAAAGAGGTTAGACAGAGGGAGCAAAGGTGCGGAAGAAAGCAGCATGACACCCTTCCATGTTTGGCTTTCCTAAGAACAAGGAAAATTCAACTCGGTGATGCAATTCCATTTTGGCTGGATGATGCCTCTTTCACGCACGTCTATTCTAAAGTTCAGCCAACAGCACACTAACTCAAATTGAATGATCGAATCCCACTTTCTACTAGTAGTTTGGCGGTCTTCAGCAGCTCATTGCAGCCATAACCGTAATGTTGCCGTATTAGTTCCTCCCCGGGCCCGAGGCTACCTGTATGTCCATTCGCAAGATATGCTTCTTATCCCAAGAATCTGAAAGAACTAATAACTCAATCCCACTTTCTGGCTGGCTACTCTTGGAGTACAGCGTAGTTGCGTGCTGTAGTAGTTTGACGGTCTTCAGCAGCTCGACTCGTTGCAGCCAATGCTGCTGCGTGAGCTCTGCGTGTTACCGGTAGTTCCTGCCTGGGCTGCCTGGAGGCTATAGATCCATTCCCAAGAGACGATTCTTATTGCGGAATCTGAAAGAACGTGGGGGGTGCAGGTAGAGAATTCTTTGTTGGCAAATGGATCCGCAGCTATAGCTCAGAGGATGCCAGGAAAGGAAATGTAGATGCCAAGGAAGCAGTTGCAAGCTACAGGACGTATTGTCGCGTCCCCTACCAGTACGTGGCACATGGACCCTCAATGTGAGGCAAGTGTCCCTCTGCGACAACGAGTAGAGCCAAGACCAAGTATACCTATTCAACTGATGATTGTTTCTATTTCCTAACGTAAAGCTGCTGTGACCTACCACATCCCTTCGATCTGCTTCTATAGCTTGCTCCAGGCAGCTCTGCATCTCTATAGCTCGCTCCACCTCAAGCCTCTAGCTAGCTACAGATGCTTCTCACCTTTCTTCCTCTGGGACTGCATGCAATCTATATTTCATTCCCAAATCTTCCCCAAGACCACTTGCATTGAGCGAACAGCTACTATTGTACCGTACTATACTCCAAGGCCCTGATGGATGCCTCTGCTTCAACTGTTGTTTGACTGCAATCACTTCCTCCGTAACCGGGATCGCAGATGCAGTTGGGTCGTCGTTGTCCGGCAAGACCAGTGTCGGCAGTGTTTTCATCCTTAGTAGCATGATTGAAAGCAAGACACCAACCCCGGTCATTGCAGTATTGTCTGGCACAAGTTTCCACTTGTTGGACTTTGCGATGAAAAATGGGTCCACCTATCGTGTTTTGCCAATGTGCGGGAGTATTTCCCCATTGAATGACGGCCGTCGCCCACGGTGGTCGATAGATGGTGTCGACCACCATGGTGACATCGTCTGGTAACAACAGTGTGGTTCCATTGTGATAGTACGCCCAAAAGAATGGAATAATGGGAATAATTTGCGATGATGGTCTTGTTGTTTGGGTGACGACGAGACGAATGGCTTCCGTGACGGTATCCTTGGTCATGATTTGATTGTAGACGCGCCACACGTCGTACCGTTCCTGGTTGTGCAGATTGGACGACAAGTATACGGAAGGAAAAAGTGCCGAACTGGTCTGATAGAGGAGCTGGATGCGGTCGTTTTGAGCTCGCAGAATGGGTCCCCAGTGAGGATGACTGTATCCACACCTCTCGTTATTGTCGTCACAATGGCCATAATGATTTCCAGGAAATCCGTAGAACCCAATCCGCGCATAAGGCCGTAACAATCGTAGCGTTTGGAGTGTTTGTACCATGAACTGGATGGCGGCATGAGTAAATATGGTGACAGTTTTGTGTTGGACCGTTTCGTGTGACCATGTCGGATGTGCTTGCTGCATTTGTTGGAGTGAGTATTCCTGTGTGACTTTGGAGTGAAAACCGGCAATGGATTGCATGTTTTGTTCCCAAATAGGACTCCATGGTTCAAAGTCCAAGACGAGATTGCCACCGTAATTCTTGTTGGGGATGAATTGGTCAATAGTGTTGTGGAGTGTTTCCAAATGGAGGGTGAGATTGGCCAGTTGTGGCGCACCACCATTAATGACATAATACCGTTTTCCCGTTTCTTTGGACGTCCAGATGGGCCAGTCTTTGCTATTACTATCGGTAGCATCTGTATTTGTGTGTTGTTCCTTGACAGGGTGTAGAAAAGGAAAAACTCCCTGAGTCCACTTTTGGCATCCCTTCAGACTGCAATGATTTCCAGTTTGTGTTTGGTTGCATTCTACAAAGTCAAACTGCGAGGGATCAGGACAATCATTGCCATGGCATGCATAGTTGCAAAAGGGCTGAAACCGGTGCGGGAAGCCTGTCACTCCTGAACTGCCAGTATTCAAGTTTCTTTTAAAGCTTAAGGAGCCTGATTCGTCTTCTCCTGATGCTGCTAGTGTGGCAACCAACAGACTGAGCACAAGCAAGCTTACTAAGGTTGGCATTGTCATTTTAGCATTCATCTGTTCCATCGGATACAACAGATGCATGATCGACACCTCATGGAGGATCCAACGGCATTGTGGTCATTGGATTTGATGAAGATTATTGGAGCCATGAGTACCGATCGGTATGCAGAATGACGTGGAAAAGTTAAAAGGGTTAGCGTTAACTTCAAAAGGCAAACACAAGATCCAACACACATCCAACATCCAATGGCACAACCAAACCCAAACTTGCGCCACCATTCCTATTGTATCAATTGTTGTTTGTTATCACTGACAAACCATGCTCCGCGTCCAGCCTGTCTATGGAAGTCGTTTCGACGCCGATGGTTCTGCGCAAGGTCCTAGTTGTACGTTGATTGAGTATGGCGGTGTGCGTGTGTTGTGGAATGTAGGTTGGTGGGGTGAAGCCACTGTAGTGGAAGGTGGAGGAGGTGGAGGTGGTCTTGGTGGTGCTGCTGGTGCTACTCCTACTCCTACTCCTACTAGTACTAGTCAATATAGTGACGGTTGTTTCCCCGAGCTTCCCGAGCACGACGTCTTGATTGTCTCGGACTCGACGTTGCATTCGTTGGGCGGACTTCCTCTGTACTACGAACATCACTGGAAACCACGTTGTAGTGTAGACTCTTCACATAAGATTCCCATGCTGTCCACCTTTCCCACCGTTAAAATGGGCCACATGACACTCTACGATCATCACGCCGCCATTTCCCTCGATGGCGGCTGTCCTCCGTATTCGTTGGAGCAAATGGACAATGCATTTGCGCAGCTGCGGACCATCAAATACTCGCAGTCCATTTCCTTTCAACGCAAACTCAGTATTACGGCCCATCGTGCGGGGCATGTCGTAGGTGGCGCACTGTTTTTGCTGCAACGCTTGCAAGATGAAACCCAAGTCGTATTGACGCCACCGGCGTACAACATTGCCAAGGAACTACATCTTGATTCTGCCACGCTCCTCAAATACGGCGCCAATCCGGATGTACTCGTCACGTACCCGGGAGGACCCGCCATGACATATATTGGCAAACTCTACGATGACAACAATACCCACAAGAAAAAACATATCATGAAATCCATCAAGACACGCTCGGGGGCTACCAAGGTACTCCTCGAAACCATCATGAGTGTTTTACGACGCGATGGTAATGTCCTTTGTCCCGTCGATGCGTCTGGCAGAGTCCTCGAACTCTTGCTCGTACTCAATCAACACTGGGACAAACAACGGCTGGGTGCAGCCTATAATCTGGTATGGCTCGGACCCATGGTACACAATACACTCGATTATGCCCGTTCTCAATTGGAATGGATGAATGCGCAATTGTCCACGCAATTTGAAGATATCCAACGGCACAGTCATCCGTTTGCATTGCGACATGTGCATCTCTGTACCAGTCTTCAACAATTGGATGCCTTGACGAGTCAACACAATACCAATTTGCCCACCTGTGTGCTGGCCACTGGACTGGCATTGGAACATGGACCGGCACGAGATTTGTTTTTACGATGGGCCGACAATGCCGATCATGCCATTCTATTCACCGATTCCTCACGGTGTTTTGCACGACGACAACGACATGTCACAACCACCACAACACAAGACGCAACGGATAATAATATGGACACGCCACAACCATCGCAGTCACAAGAGTCTGCCACAGACGCTGCAAGTGCACCCGAACTACCACCACCCGCTCTAGTGACGCGTCAATCCTCACTGTCTCGACAAGTCTCGGAAGGCACAGCTGTAGTAGTACCAGACGAGGAAGCCGAAGACGAAGAAGAAGGAAATGCCCTGCGTGGTACAGCCGTCGATCCCGACTTGGTGTCGACATTTTCCGCTGCCGCACAATTGCTCCAACAGTGGTGTCTCGCCAAATGGGAAGGACGGGAAATGGACGACAGTGTCATGATTGATGTTCGGGTGCCGCATCGAGCGCCATTGGCGGGACAAGAGCTCAAACAATTTCTGGCGGCAGAAGAAGCCAAACGATTGTGGCAGAAACAACAAGAAGAAAAACGGGCCATGTTGCGAGAAGTCGAACTGGCCAAAGGACGATTGCGATTGGGAGAAGAAGATGGTACTACTAGCACTACTACTGTGAGTGCCACGACAGCCGGTGAGACGACAACAAGCACCAGCACTACCATGGCCACATCGAGTAGCAGTACCGGTCGACCCAAGAAAAAGAGTCGATTCGATTCCACCTTGTTCTTGAAATTCTCCAAGCCATTGCATTGTAAGTTACACACATACATACGCACATGTGTATTCAGTGTCGTGGTCTATTCTTGTGTGGTTCATTTGTGTTCTGTGGCCTGATACACTTCCATTCATTGATAATCATTAGTAACATTCGAGGTCCGGGAAGAGGCGGTTGGAGTGGGACAACCCGATTCCATTGCCAAATTTGGCATTGGCGAATCCATTGGACGGTCGGGAGAAATACTCGAAGATGATTACGGAATTGCCGTCAAACCAGAACGATTCACCGATATCGTGTCGGGAATTGTTGACCCGTCCAAAGTCATGGGTGGAACTGGACGCATTGGGGAAGACCGACGAGGGTTTGGATTTGCGGCCGGGGCGGGCCCCAAGACGGCCGGAGCTGGAACCAATGCGGCGGATGTAAGTTTTGTTTGTGTATTGCATTCTTGAGGACATGATATATACATCTCATCATGCTTTTGTGCTGTTTTTCTGTGTGAAGGATGATGCGGGAGATGGTGATGAAATGGACGAGCAAGCCATGGAAGCAGCCGATCTATCGGAAGGAAATGGAATCATTCGAGGACGCGGTGGACGACCACCCACCAAGGTAACTACTGTGCCCAGGAGATTGGAGGTCCTCGCGGAGATTGCATACGTCCCTTTGGAAGGTCGTGTCGATGCTCGTGCTGCACGACAATCCGTCCGAGCGTTGCAGCCGAGACAAGTCGTTGTCATGGGCGGTCCAGCACCAGAAAACCGAACGAGTGACTTGCCATTGGAAGTGGTGGACGAAGTTACTATTCTGGCAGAGGCAGCCCAAACCTTTGCGACCGATCGTGGAAGCAGAGTCCGCACCCCCTCGGATGGAGAAGTGGTGGAGCTCAACGTGGGTCATGCGGCGTATTCGGCCCGCCTCATCGATACGCCGTTCCAGACGCGAGAAGAGAAAGTGTACAATGCGGAAAATGGGATTGAACCACTGGAACCGGTGGAACCCTTTGAAACCAAAGTGGGATCTTGCACGGTCAGTTTGTTAGATGCCGTGGCCACGGGGCAGAAAGTTGCTCTGGATGGCTCTATTGTCTTGGCACCGCTACCAGTCTCCATTGAAAGTGCCATGAAGCACCCGCCAACTTACATTAGTGATGGAGAGGTACTCCTTACGGATTTGCGAGCGGAGCTCATTGCCCAAGGCATGAAAGCCGAATACAGGTGCGTTGTCTATTATTTATTTGTGTCGCATACCAGGAGCAGGCACCAATTGCGGGCTCACTTGACTCACCAAATGATTATCATTTTGAACCAATTTTAAAATTAATTGTAGTGCTCAAGCTGGCTATTCGCAACTCGTTGTGAATGGCAAGGTCATTGTCAGGAAGGAGCAGGACTCTGGGCGCCTCGATTTGGAAGGACCCTTGTGCGAGGATTTCTACTCGGTCCGAGCTGTAATTTGCGGGCAATACGTCACTCTGTAGTAAAGTCTCGCGTTGAATTTCTTTGGTGCTACCTGCAAGTCCCAAACTCGGGGCTTTTAAAGTTTGGCTCCAAGCCGGTCTCGGCGGCAAGCTCGAAGAATGATTCATCCACGTAATAGTCTAGCTAGCTAGATTTGCCTGATCAACGATGGATGGATGAATGAACGAATGAATAAATCTGTAGCTGTATTGTTAGTTACTTTTGTTTGCTTGTTGGTTAGGAATGAATGAGTGTGTGAAAGAGTTGCTTTTCTTTTTATTAATACGCCAACGTTCCCGAAAAACTTTGGTATCGTCGAATCCTCGATCCGGTGACAAAGGAATGCGGCATGTCTTGGTGACTTTTCTTGCGAGACAGTTTCGCGGACCCCGACTTGCGGCGTGACACGCCCTTGCCCGGTCTACTAGTGCCCTTACCACCGGTATTGTTGGATTGCGTTAGTACCTGTCCCGACTGGTTCTCGCGGTGTCGTTTGGCAGCTGCGGCCGCCAACTGGAGGAGGCTGGAGGACGATGCTGACGACGACGGTTGTGCCACTTTTCGTGGTTGTTGTTGCTGTTGCAAATGACGATGTGTGGAAAGCAGTGATTGGACCTTGTCATTGTTGTTGCCAGCAAGAGCTTGATGGTTCCTCTGGCTGTTATTGACAATGGCCAAGAAGGGATTGTTCTTTTTGCCGTTGGTTGTTTTCTTGCTGTTCCAGTCAAAGTTTTCATTGGCCCGTCCGCCACCTGCAGCATTGGACATTTGCCAAATCTTGCCTCGCGCAGTATGATTGTCACTATTGCCATTAGTGGTGGCAGAAGCAAGAGCCGGCGAGGAAGCCATGGTCCTTGCCAGTTTGCTTTTAACTGCAGCGGCACCAAAGGATACATTTCGTTGGAGCGGACCACGACTTTGCTGATTTCGTTGGACCCCACTGGATTGAGTTCGTTGGAGGAGACCACGAGTATTGACGACCGCTGCCGAGGATGTTCGATTGAGGGATGCGAGCATGGCCAATTTGGAACCAAAGTGGGTGGTCGGAGCCTCGCTGTCGTCGTTGTTACTACTATCAGTAGAGGTGGCAGTATTCCACTGTGCATTGTGATTGTGATTCCCAGCGGATAGCTTTCCCTTTCGTTGTTGGTGTTGCTGTACGAGTTGTTGATACCTGTGTTTTTGTTGCTTTTCCGTCAAGAGTTGATCAATCAACATGGGTTGTTTGGGTTTACTGTGATGGTCGTTTTCTTCTTTGCTATTGTTGCGTCGGAGTGACTTGCGATGAAAGGATGCATCGAGTAGTGAATTGGTGGAAGCATCCAATAGATTGCTGGTGGATTCTATAACGCGATTTAGCTTGGTCTTGGCGAGACTGTTGGAAGATGGAGTGGGTGACAAGGAAGTGGTGGTCCTTCGTCGTCGTCGTCGGCGTTGTTGTGCCGTTTGTGCCTTTTCTTGGAGCAAACGTTTCAAGTCTTGCTGGTTGATATTGTTATTGGTGGTGGAGGCGGAAGATGAAGTAGAAGCATGAGACGAGGACGACGAGGCTAGAGGGTCTGTACCGGTTGTAGCCATGAGGAGTGACAATGCTTTCGGCATGGCATATCCGTCCGACTTGGCTCGTTGCAAGAGTGGAGGGGGCAAGGCATACGCTGGTGGCTTGGTCGACTTGGGAAGAGTATTCTTGTTGTTCTGTTTCTTGTTGTTGGACCTTCGGTTGTTCCGTCGTCTTCTGGTGCTGCTACTGTGGTGTCCCGATGAGGAATCACTGTCCATTTCATCCGATTCTTCTGCTGCCTCATGAATGGATGCCATGCCCAAACTGTTTCGACTTCCTAGACTGTTTCTACTGTGGTGAGTAGATGTTGCCAACATGTCTTCCATGGGATCATAGCGTCTTCGGGTATGATCTGGAATGGTGGCTGTTTCTTGTTGTTGTTGCTGTTGCTGTTGTAGCAGCAAGAGTGACTTGTGGAGTCTGTGAGTGGAGGAGGTGTCCAAGCTTGCAGTGCCTGAGGTATTGTTGGTGGCAGACGGTTGTTTGGGTATCATCTTGCTGTTGTCTTGATCCATATCGTTGGTAACATCTAGACTGTGAGATCTGCTGACTTTAATAGATCTGGGTAATTCAAACTGGATAATGGTTCTTCTGACCGAGGGTATAATATCGTGACTGGGATCCGATACGGTATCATCCATGAGTTGACGTTTGCCTTGAGCAGCACCAGCACTTTTGGTTCTTGGGACATTGCGAGGAAATACTTTGCTGCCTTGTTTGAAGGAATTGCTCTTGCCTTGTGACTTGATCCTGCCCTTCCTACTACTACTGCTAGTAGCTGTAGTAGTGCTTTTGCTAGTAGTGCTAAGGGTCTGTACTTGCTGCTCTTCTTGTTCTCTCTTGTGACTGCTGGTCTTCTGGAAGGAACGTCTCAAACGGTCGGAACACGAGAGTCGTTTCTCGGTCCGTACATTCTCAGTTCTTGTAGAAGTGGTAGAAGTAGAACCAGCCTTGGGCTGATCCAGAGACAATGGCAAATCCAGCAATTTCTCCGTGGTCTTTAACGCACGTTCAATAGACGATCGGTGGCCGCCTCGAATCGCAGATTTGCCGTTGTTTACTCGTCGTCGGCTACCCACACTACCACCACCAATACTGCTCATGCTCATGCTCATACTACTCGTACTACATGTACCACTACTCCTTGTACTTGCTGTTACACCACTGTCATCCAACGCTCGATTCTTGGAATAATCAGGTAGCTTCTCCAGGCGACCTCCTACCGGTAGGCTGTGACGTCCCAAGGCAGTAGCAGAGTAACGCCGGGATTTACTGCTCTTACTGCTCTTGCTGCTCTTATTGCTACTGCTGGGATACGAACTGCGTGGCGTCATGGTAGCAGGAGTTGCTCCAGTGGTACGAAGTGGATCCATTATCATCATGGTCTTTAGCTAGAAGATAGATTGTAAATAATAAGGATTATGTGGAATCTGGAACCGCTCGAGTTTGTGGCAATCGGCTGTCAAGTGGTACCCAGCAAGAGCTTACCGAGAACTAAAAACCAAAAACCGAGTCCGCGTGTTGACGGGACGCTCTAGTTTTCACTAACAAAATTTCAGTAGCGAATCGCTTGAACCCAATAAGTAGAAAGTGTACTACTCAAAGACACAGCAGGATGCTCAGAGGCACTGATTCATCTAGGTTTGACTACTATGAACCTAAAGTGCAAGTTGAGTTAAGTATAGAAGAATCGCCTGGGAGAACAATGACTTCATGGGGTAACCACCACGTTTAACCTCAACATATAAACAGGTTTGACAGCTGTTTGACTATCAAGAAAAGTACCAAACTACTAATGAGTAGTATTCTCATTCATCAAGGACGGTACAACATGAACACAACCCTTCTTCTCCGAAGATGCTTGTCCTTTATGTCTTTTTAGTTGCAGGGTTCCCTATCAACCACATACGAGCTCTAATGAAATAAAGATCGTGTAAACGTTACAAGAGAAGAGCAATAGGTGTAGAAACAATCAGTACTGTTGTTGAAAAACAAGTTAAATGAACACTGCCTAAAGAATTCAGACTCAGATGTTTCACACAAAGCCCCATCCAAAGAGCTATCCAAAGTAGTTAAAGCATTCAAAGGTGACATAGGAGGTTAGGGACTTGTATTTTGATTGCCAACCTGCTGGTTCTTTTCGTCTTTGTCTACAATGTCATTACTATGGAGCTTAGTACTGTACTCTGTACTGTGTAACTAAGAGTTCTTTCCAAACTGTCCAACTGGCACCCCACTTACTCCGCATAATATCTCCTTCGGTCTCTTCCTAAAGTTTCCACACAGATCCATGTTCCACTGAGACATGTGTTGCAGAGTGCACCTTCGCAAGCAAAGCTCCTACGTGGAACGTGGAACTGTTCGTGGAAACAGGACCACGCACGTATGGGCCACAGGCCATTGCAACGCAATATCTACCTTACCTTACCTTGCCTCGCCAGTGCCAGTTTGGACGTGCATGGAACGAGCTAGCTACTAGGGAACGTTACTTGTACGTGGCGGTGGTCTGCAACAGGATTACTCCGACTACACTACGGTACGAGTGTGGGAGCTACGGTAGTGTGGGATAGCTTGGAAGAAAGAAATGCGATCGATAAAGCCTTCGCCAGCAGCATCAGCCACCCACACCATCGATCGGTGAACTGATCTGATCTGATCTGTCGCCGTGTATTTTGAGCGAATTGCTACCGTACGGGGCCACGGCGGCATGCTGCACCTTGAATGATTCGATTCAATCTGAAGCTCTCGACATCTCCGTCTTTCCTCTGGAAACGGGAAGCCGTGGCTACATGAACTTTGATCGATCAGGGTCCGTACATGTAGTTGCTCATAGCGCAAGCAACCGTGCGTCGAGAAACGCGCGACCACGATCGAGAACACCACGAATCGCAAAGCAACTCGGCACGTGGACGACTCGCTGTCCTGGCCGGTCCATCGCAATGATGCCAGCCGTAAAGAAACTACGCGCAGCACAGGCCCCCAAAGATTCACACGAGTGAGCTTCTTGAAAGAGAGCGACAAATCAATTGAATTGTTTGCTATATAGATGAGTTGATAGATGTACTATGCATCGATCCGTCTTCTATAGTTGCAACACCGGTACCGGTATGCATGCAACGTCAGCCACCGGCGGCCTCAAATTCATGTTTGCAATCTGATTGACGACGAACTAGAGTAACTCCTTTCCAGATTTGGGTCTCGTCCCGAATGATTCAATCTCTCTACGGCTTAATCGCTCCGGGATGGTGCTCTTGCTGCCTTGTTGCTTGTAGTTCGTACCCAAACGTTTCGTGAAAACAGTTTGTAGTGCCACTATCGGTAGAGGAGCGACATGCCAATAGTACTGCATCGTGTGGGACACTGGATTGCAAACAAGTCAGCAGTACGTGAGGTTCAGATACGTAACACAACAGCCTAGCAACACAGTTGCTTGCAACGTACCATCTGCGGCCTGAATGACGTGCTTGATCACTATAGTGGCTTTCCTGACAACAGCTTTGCTGACCCTGAAAAAGCCGCAGAGGGTGAGTTGAATGTTGGCGTCGTCTCATGACTCCATCCGGGAAAAGGCCTTCTCCCAACGATTGTTACGGAGAGCCTTGAGTTCCTTATCTCCCAAGTCAGTCTGAGTACATGCAGCGATGTATGTATGTGGGCGTGGTTGAGAATGATGAATGCAAGCCTGACTTTTGCCGAGAAACGGCAGACAACTGTCCAGCAGACTTTTGCTTACCGCCACGACACTGTTAATCCCTAACAGGCCCAGCCACTCGAGCTCTTTTTGATCAGCACACAGTGTCTTGCTCAAGCCACCAAAACGGGGCTCCAAAAGGAGCGTCCAGCCAGCCAGGCAGCCAAGCCAAGTTGAATGAATTCTAGGCTACTAATGCACACCATCCATGCGCGGTTCATGCGAGTCCGCTGGGTTCCTGCCTTGGTTACAATTACGGCAAATGGTGAAAGCAAAGAATGCGCCTGCGTACCGGTTCAGCAACGCTCCTGTTCTTGCACATCCCCTCGTGGGCTTCATTTTCCTCAATCAGTCTTCCATGGGGACTTCTTAAAAAATAAGTTGTTCGAATTCGTACCCGCTGCATGGCACAGCCCTTTCGCACTATGTTGTTTAAAATGGCACCAGCCTTGGACAATGATGGGTGCGCTCTGCTTTCCACCAAACACTGAGGATGTGTGATTTGGTAGCAGCAAAATGGATTTGCAAGAGCTCCCCCCGCAGAGGAGTGTTGGATTGGTTGGACAAGCCACCCCCATTTCTTTGCGGTGTAGTAGCTCCGTTCACACTGGGGTCTGTAGTCGAGAAACAAGAACTACTGCCATTGGAAGGATCATCTGAACTTTAGAAGTGGATAGCAAAGCCCAAAGCGTCACGATGTGCCAACTAAGGGATAGTCATTATGGTACGGTACAGTCGTACTGTCCAGAAGGCTGTACGGTCTGTAAACTGGACGACTGGACCATGCCGTCGCGCTGATCTGTGGATACATTCGATTGAGATTGATTCGATTCTCATTCAACCCTTGCTGGTACTGGTTACTGGATATGCATATGAGTTCTGAGTTCTCTGATCACTATTTTAATACTGTTTTCTAAGTAAGTACTAGTCGAGTAAGGGTTTCACTGGAGGATAGAAACAATTATGAGCTATTTTCTTTTGAAATCGCCTTATCGCCTTGTGGCAAAGGCTGAGAAATCGTTGCTGTCTCATGCTCACCTGTGCTTTCCTGCATCGAGCCACTCCTAACAACTGCTAACCACCTGTCCTGAAACAGTGGTAAACCTCACCCTGTGTCCACCGCTGTCTATGGTTTACCACTTTTCCCAGTGTCTCCCAAAGGTTTTCCTGGCCATGGGATGGCAATGGCTTTCTCACTGCTTTCTCCAAACCTCATGGTTTCCCTGTAGAAAAGCACAGCGTAGCTCTTATTCATTCTGGTGTGGCTTACTCACTCCTCACAAGTCAAATATAGTTTATTCAAAACCTTGACACACCCCTACTCACACACGTCAACACACCTACACACACTCACACGGCACCGGCACTAGCAGAAAGGAAACAGCCAAGTGACAATGGACTTCCCTGGACAAGACAGAGCTTGGATGCCGATGGGCAACAATCAGGCAGTCCCATTGTCTAAACTCCTTTGTGCGGCCTATTGGCCTCGTCCAGCCTCAGTTGGAGGCAACGTGCCTGTCGTAGCTCCTCATGGAATGCCGCACGGCTTCATGCTTTCCCTCCAAAATGCTCTCCATGATGCAATGAATGCTGCTCACATTGAAGGAGACGGGGCGGTCGATGCCGCTGACATGCTTCTTGAGCCTGCTGGCACCGCAAATGAGAGGACTCCTGTTTCTCCTTTGGACGTCTCTGATAGTGGTGACCAGACTGTTGCCCAGCTCAAGAGCACTGGAGGTTCAGCCAAGATGTAACCACCCTCCTCGCTTGGTGGAAGCACCATGTCCAGCCCAAGCGCAATGGTCTGGCTGCCTGGGAGGAATTTGATTGAAGAGAAGCTTGGTGTTTTGGGGTCCACCAACATCCATGAAGTAGAAGAGTACTAGGAAGACGTGAATGATGGACCCCACTAGACCCATACGTAGAAACTATACATTTTAAAAGTAATACCATCAAGTACTTTACCTTTGAGAGTCTTTCTCTTGCCTATGGTCGACTGCTTCAAGTGCACTGCATGCATGGGCATCTCTCATCAGTGTTTTCTTTTTTTTAAAAGATCTTGTCCGTTGTTTGAGTGCTCTTCTGCTCTACAATCCACCATTTCCTAAAGATGACGATTGCCGGCTACCGGTAGTGTGCAAGGTGTATGCACATGTGGCAGCATCTCGTGTGACGCTCAGAGTGTTGGTTTGATCCTGTTGGCTGTTGAGCAAAGATTGGGACACGGTGAGGCAGCGTCTGAAGGAGACGTCTTCATTCGTAAGTCAGCTACATGTACCCGCGCTAGCTTGACTGGCTAGTAAATGAACGCCCCAAAACGATGAGATGCCCGTGATACGGCTGTACCAGCCCCCTTGGCATTCCAAAAACCACCTCTTGAAACATATGCAGAAGCGGCAACTCCATTTCGGCAGTGACTCCTGGTATGGCTACCCGAGACATGGGATTGGTTGTGAGTGACCGAGAAGAAATGGAACCAGAAATCGATGTCGATGCTATGGAATAATCCCAACAAGAAGAGCATGTCTCAACTTATGTTTTTTGCGCTCCCAAACAGTCAGCGGGCGGAGTTAGACCTTGACGAGTTTGTAGTCCTCATGAAGTACCGGTATGCCCAGGAAGTAGCCGGAAACACGGGCTGCCATTCTCAACTAGCTAGCTAGTAGCCGGAAACACCGGTACTGAGGAAGCCTCCAGCCTAGCTAGGACAACTGTTCGCGGCCTGCCGTAATTACAGCATTCGCATGATTGACGTGTTTGAAACACAAGCATCCCCCATTGCCATGAAAAGTGCCAATGAAGCCGTGTCCCAAGCACAAACCACCAACCCGGGAGAATCGAGAACTATAGATTTCTTGATTCTGGACTCGGAGTTCCCTCTCAAGACGGCAGAAACGGCATGCCAGTTTGAAGTGGAACGCCAGCTCAAGTTGCTCAAAGGACGTCAACATGAATGCAGTGCATGGTGCACTATGTGGTAGAGATTCTAATCCTCGATCCTCGGGCTTCTTCTTTTATTAAAATGGCAACTTATCGACTTGGTAGTATTCATCCTGGCTTTGCTCTATATGCACCCTATAGAATGGTACTCTCAGCAGCCATCTCTTCATCAAACCCATACGATGTACCAGTACGGTACGAAAGCAGCGATCTCCGTGTCATCTTGTGCTCTAATAGGAAACGTCCGAGACACACCTCTAGCCAGACTACTTGAAGGCCTTCCTCAGCTCGTATTCATACGCCCCCTGGGTCGTCTCCGTTTCCATAAATCTTTTATTACCAACACCTGAAACAGTATTCGCGCGCTCCGCGCGCTCATCCCTTTCTTGCTTCGCCCCGAAACCGAAACAGCTCCCTCCCTCATTCATGCGAAACTTGTGTGAAAAGCGAGGCGACTTTCATGTGCATGTACATGCGTTGACTGTATCCCGTCAATACAATACTAGTCAAATACGTAGACTTCTACAGAGGCCTCTAAGTATTGCACGCCGGGTATAATTCAAACCTCTGCCCCCAACAGTACCCTTACCCCTAAAGCAAGTCGTCTCCGGGAGACGAAATTGACCGTTGTTGCCATGTCCACAAACTGGACTCGACTCGACTCTTTCATTCGGTCAATCACGGCGACACTCCTGTCTGTAAACAGGACTGAATGGTAAATACATTGAAAACGCCCCTTTTTGGGGGCAGGTTTGGAAAACGCCCCTTATTATTACGGGAGGTTTCGGAAATCCGCCCCTTTAATAAGGGCGTTTTGGCGATTTAAGGGCAGGTTTGGAAACCGCCCCTAAGTTGGGTCGTATTTAGGGGCATCTTCCCCGAAAACGCCCCTATTTTAGTGGCGGATTTAAAATATTAATATATGCACGACTGAGGAACGCTCGAGAGGTTCAGTAGGATGTATTAATTAATGCCAGGTACGTGGCAAAACAATCCACTACCTGTAAAAAGAATACCCAGATTTCCCACTTCACGGGATCGAAATTGCGTGTTCCTGTTCTGTGTTGTACCTGGTAGGACGACGGGGGGTTCACAGGGGCCAATACATGTAGCTGCCCGGCTCGTTCCGAAGCTTTTTGCTTAAATTATTCGCTAAACTCAGTTTGAGTGTTATAAGGCACCTCCTCATTTGTGAATTCAACTTTTGTCACATTTCCCATTGCGAAACAGCTACGACCGACGTACAGTCCTGGGAACGATGTTATTATGAAAATCAGAAATTGCATTAAGTCTTTTAAGAGGCATGCCCGGCGCTTATTGTCCCCAGGGCTCTTTTCTGGTGCACGCCACCCTTGTTGCGCTGTGCAGGATTGGAGTGTGCGGTAGCCCCTACCCTAGTCTGTCGCACAGTCACAGTATCTTTTGCAGCAGTCTTTCGCAGAAGTATCTTTGGGCAACAGCAACAACACAACAACACAACAACACAACAGCACAAGTCACAAGTACATTGCAAGGCATCTGCATCGGCATCCAGCCAAGGCATCGGCATAGCCAAGGCATCAGCATGAGCATGAACCATGCAGATGCAGCATCCACCGCAGACAGCAAGAAAAAAGCAGCCACTGATTGTTCTACCAGAGCAGCCAAAAGCCGACTCGTTTTTAATCAACAAATCGCCACTCTCCTCAATAGAATATGGAGGGCATTCCCTCATGGAGGATTGGACCGAGCCAAAATTGAATGCATGAGAGACAAGAACAACTACACTGGCGATTATGGATCCCATCAATCAAATCTTGGATTTTCCCATGTTCCATTCGATTCGAAATTGCAACTGGGGACGAGAAGTCTGGGACTGTACTACGAAAATGAGCACACTGAGGTTCTGAGAAAAAGCCAAATGTGTCCCTATTCCAAGAAGAATCTACAGTTTCTACTAGATATCCAGTGCAGCATCTACTTGGCTTTTCGGAATGCCGATATCAGGGCAGCTACGCAAAAGTACATGCGGGTCAACCTGGTTGTGGGTGCACAAACAGGGGAGCATACTGATAGTATGAGAGGAGCAACGCCCAACTTTGTTCTGTTTGAACCCAACAGTTCATTCACTCTCCGAATCAGGAAATTTCCCCTTTTTCATGCATCAGTTGTGATCTACAAAGGCAAACAATATATTCCCCACCAGTACAGTTCAGCAAGACTTGTCGTGATTGGAGAGAACAGTGAGGGCAAACCACATTATTTTAAAATTCCTTCATCGGCAATAGAGAATCTAGAGCCCTTCGGGAATTTGGAAAGGTTCATTATTGTGGGCATTAAGAGGGGCAAGGTACAAATTCTTCCCAGCCACTACACAATCCACCACACAACCAAGACCTTGGAAACTATTAGCCTTGCCGATGTGTTTGACGAGGCACGGAACCACCCGGTAACATCCAAACCCAAGCAGATATTCCAGTACAAGTATGGATCCGATAATTGGCACATTTTCTATGGCTGGAAACATGTGCACAAATGGGTGTCTGGCACTGAATGGTGTTGCCGTCGAATCCACGTTTTTTATAGGCCAATTAGAGAAGAACCCTCAGCATGCAGAGCACGTTGGTTTACATGGATAGAGTAAACTATAAGCCGATTGCAGTATCATAGTAACATTGTCCTATTGGATGTTTTGAACATATCATTGCTTGTATGCTGTGGAATTATGGGCTAAATCAGTTGTTAAATCTTCAAGGTGCAGTATGAAGGCCAGACCAAAAGGGCAACAACAGCAAACTCAACTGACTCCATAAAGAATTGGCATCATGGAAAATGAAAATGTTGTGCTAGAAGTCATGGATAGTGATGGGGAGGCAGAAGATGAGATCAAGACCGTTCCCCCAAACAACAGTAGTTATCAGCTTCTCTTCGTTGGGAAGCCTTGTACTTGGAAACGACCTGAGTTCATATCAGGAATCGGCAAGAAAGGGAAGTTTTACAGAGCAGTCACTACCAACAAGAAGATGCAGCAAGAAACACAGCAGTTTTCCAACAGTGCTCGTAACCAGCTGACAACATCGGTCCAAGCTTTCCCTTGCTTTGGGAGAAATATACGAGTCAGTGCTACTGTGTGGTTTTGTACCAAGCCCAGCCTGGATTTCTTCATCAACCGAGATGGCCAAAGGCTGAAGCCAAAATATCGGAGATTCACTGCAGTGCAACACACACCCTTTTGCACTACGCTAAAAGCTAGTGTAAAGATCTTTCGAGTGTTTTGGGTTTGAGAGAATGAAAGTTATGAGAGGATTAGAAAGCTATGAAAACTAATCGACGAGAGAGATCCACAATCAAAGGATCGTAGATCTGAACTCCCGCGGGAGACTGTAGAGTGTGATAGATAGGTGCGGTAGCAATCTACTCACTCCACGATCCCAAAACGGAACGCGTGGAAGATTCGTCTAGCATTTATCTAGTAGCGTGGAACTCAGCTAATATCTGCCGATGTTTCACCATCGACCTAGTATGACTAGCGGTCATGAGAACCCTGTCTCAATGACTATTCACGAAAGACTCAGTCATGACGAACCCTATCTAGGATCGAGTCGCGAACAAGGCTAAGAGCCGTGTATTGCATTCGCCCCCTGACAAGGGTCACGGAAGCACGACATCAGTCGGACAAGGAGAACATATGAATTAAAGTGCGGGGCACTCTCCGGAGATTGGATGTAGACATGTGCGTCGCACGATGGCAATCCTACAAGGGGATCAGGCCTTGTATGGTGTAAATACCTTATGTTCCAAGTCTGGTAGACTGTGCCGCTATTGCGTAGTATGTCGGAGCCGTGCAGTGCCATTGTTATTGACTCTCTGTGTGGTAAGGACATTGTGCGTTGGCTGACCGTTTAACGGTTCTGATACTGATGATCATCATAGTGTCGTTGACATGGTGTTGATGGGGACACGTGCCGTGTTCTCCTTATCGGTGTTTTTCTGGATAAGTCGTTGGCGACGTTCCTTGATGTATTTCCGGTTTGCTTTGAAACGGATGTGGTGAAGCTTGTCACGATTGACGCGCGTGAACTTGACGAAGTCCATGTTCATCCGAGAGTCTTCTCGATCTACGCGGGACTCACGTTCTCTTGTCCATGACGACCGGTCATTGATCCTGGGTAACCCACGTCTGGTCAGAACGATGGTTACTCGTCTGCTGTCGTGGAGCAGCCCTTGGTAGTTCATTGTCAATGAATCTACGAAGTTTTCCTGTTGGTAGGAAGAGCGATAGCTGGATCGCATCTGTTTTCTTTTTGTTAAAGTTGGCTTCCTTCTCGAGAAGTCCAATTGTCTAAATACTCCAGTTCTTCCTTCGAGGAAGGCCTTGGTAGTGTTGATTTCAATCCCGACTTTTTGGAGTCTTTTGGGGAAAGGTCATCCTACTGTTCAACGCGATCTGCGAGATCGACTCGTTAGGATGAGTTGATCATCACAGTATGCACGGACATTTTCAAGTCATGCTGCGTGTTTCATTTTCCTTTGGAAGATGTCGGGACTATTACATAGGCCCATTGGCAACCTCTGTACTCGTGCTTTCCCTTCGGGAGTGCAATGGATAGTGTTGTTCGAGTGAGGTGACAGCTCGATGTGGTATTGTCCCGTTTCAGGTCTGGACTGGTAGCGCACTTATCCATCTGGGTTCAAGAGCATGTCCTGTATTTTTGGGATAGGATAAGGCTTCCGCTTATCGTTGTTCGGTTCCCGAAATCAGAGAGAATCGTGCAGATCCCTCTTTCTTGGGATGATAAAGTTGGTGCCGCCCACTTGGAACGGTTCACCTTCTTAGTCCTGCTCGCAGACGTTCAACCTCCTTCTTAAGAGTGTGGTATGGACCCGTGGAGTAGGGGAGCCCTAGTGTAATAGGATTTAACGTCAGGCGAAGTTTCTACTTCGTAGTCGTCCATTCGCAACTCTCCCAAAGTATCCTCGACTGGGTCGAAGCACTGGTTGAAAAGGCATGAAGCAGTTCTTGCTCCTCCTTGTTTAACGGATTCGACTCTTGCATATCTGCCTTAAGCCATTTGTTCGTATGTCGTATCAAGAATCTTCTTGAGACTATTTGCATTGTCGCTGACAGCTGCAGAGTCGGAATGGAGAAGTTCTCCTTTCTATTGGTGTTGCTCTCTTTCGCCGGGAAAAATGCATGGTTCCACCCCGATGACATGGTAGTGAAATCGAACTTGATTCTTAGATCGCAGAGAGTGTCTTGACCTATGATCACGTCTTGCGCCCCAAGTTCTTGGTGACGTGTAAATTCCACTTGATAATTCTATCATCGTGGAACTCAGGAATCGCGAGTGTGCCCTTACACTTCGTGCGGGGTCTCAGTTCCTTCATAGAAGCAGTCGTAATGTTTGGACGCCCCCATGATTCTTCATGAGTGAACTCTTAGCATGAGTTTGAGCAATTAAGGTTCCGGATGCTTCTGTATCCAGTAAGCAACAGAGTGTAACGGGTTTTCGTTTCCTTTCTCTCGTTGTTAAATCTAACATAGACGATAGTTTCGAGGTCTCTTGTCTTGCGAGTTGATGAGTTGATTGGCCATGGACGAAGCTAACGATGCTGAACAGATCGTCAGCGTCTAGTTGGTAGTTGCTAGGCAATTATCTAATTTGCCGTAGACTTCGTAGTTGCAAACAAATCTTGTTTACTATTTAGTGAGATATCTTCATCACTTAGGTATGAGAAATCGGAACATGGTTCCGTTGAATCATCATCCTGGCCTAATCCTCAGACGGAGATCTCTCCGTCCGAATGATTGAAGTCGAATTCGGCAAGCGCCTTGTCAACAGCAGCCATCTTCTTGTCCATCATGTTGATGGATCCAACAGAGGAGTCGTCCTCGTTGTCGGAGTTGTCAGACTTGCGCTTGGCAACATGGTTGCATCGCTTTTTTCTTCGATAGCCTTGACCGCAGCGTTGGAAACCTTCTTCATGAGGACGGAGAGTTCCTTCTTGGTGTAGGTCTTGGCGTCGTCGGACTTGCGTTTCCAAGTCTTGTTCTTGTTGTACGCTGGCTTGTTATCGTTGTCAGACGAGGACTGAGACTTGGCCTTGAGCTTCTTCAAAGTCATGCAGTCGCAGTGTTGTGAGTGCTGGACTCGTGGTAGTCGCACCATTTTTCTTCGTTCTTGGAAGAGTGGTCGTTGTTGCGAGTAGACTTGTACTTCTTGCTGTTGTTCTTCTTCGTAGGAGCTTGCTTGGCATCACGCCCTTGTCAAAGTCTTCGGAGGATTCCATGCGTTCGCAGAATCCAATGGTTTCTCCGATAGGAGCTGAGAAAGGATCGAGTCGTGTTCGTCCATCTCTTCATCCACGAGCGTGGAATTCCATGACAAACAATGTCAATGACCTCGTCATGGTTCAACGTTTGTGTGGGTCCAAAAGGTGGTAGACGAGGAAGTTCATCGGTGTTCATCCGACTGAGGTTGTTGACATAAGCCCGAGTAGACATATCAGCAGGCTTACGCATCTTGCGGCGCATGAAGCGTTTCGCTTTTCAAGAGCCTTGTAGGGACAGACCGCTTCGATACAGGCATTTATGCCAAACGTAATGTCAGCGTCGTCCAAAGCAGGCTGAGCTGCTCCGTTCCAGGCAGCCTGGAAACGTGCTTGGAAAGTCGCTTCGTCTTCACCACCACGTACGTCGCGTGGAGCAATGCCGTTGACTGCAATCTGGGCAAGGCATTCCAACTACTTCACGGTGGCCTGCAAAGCTAGATCGTAACTGCTCTTTGCAGGCTAGAAGTCATCTCTTGAGGAGGTTATGTTTTGCGGTAGGCGTAGCAATGGCGAGCCCAACGAAGACCTTCCCATGCGTCCAGCCCACTTTGATGGTCTGACTGGAGTCTCAGATCCATTGATGATTTGGACCTTGAAGGTGTACTTGGCGCTGTTAGCATCTGCTGGAACAGTGCGAAGTTTGTAGGTGTAGAGCGAGAATCGTCGATTTCGCAGTCATCGTTGAGGTCGATGAGAGAAGGATTGGTTTGTCGCGCAGCTTAGACTCGAAGCTGGTGTAAGGTCTTTGGCAATTTTCATGGTGAAGGAATAGGTTGAGGGTAGCTGAAAGCTATTGTGTTTGTTAACAAAATGCACTACGCTAAAAGCTAGTGTAAAGATCTTTCGAGTGTTTTGGGTTTGAGAGAATGAAAGTTATGAGAGGATTAGAAAGCTATGAAAACTAATCGACGAGAGAGATCCACAATCAAAGGATCGTAGATCTGAACTCCCGCGGGAGACTGTAGAGTGTGATAGAGTAGGTTGCGGTAGCAATCCTACTCACTCCACGATCCCAAAACGGAACGCGTGGAGATTCGTCTAGCATTTATAGTAGCGTGGAATCTCTCCACGCCAGCTAAATATCTAGCGCGATGTTTCACCATCGACCTAGTATGACTAGCGGTCATGAGAACCCTGTCTCAATGACTATTCACGAAAGACTCAGTCATGAGTCGAACTCAAACCCTATCTAGGATCGAGTCGCGAACAAGGCTAAGAGCCGTGTATTGCACTTTTCCAAAATCGAGAAACCCGACCTCGATAATATGGTCAAATTCGTATTGGATGCTTTAACTGGAATCTGTTGGGAAGACGATGACCAAGTCTCAGTTGTAAAAGCCTACAAGTGTGTTGACTTGCATCCACCCTTTCAGGGGAGAACAGTTGTCCAGCTTCAAAGCATGGTAGCCAAGGATGATATTGAGCCAATTCCAGAATGGGGACGCCTTAGTATCCAGCCTTGACTAATTAACTATTATCTATTAGTACGATGTCTGTTTTTGATTCTAGTTTCTTCGGATAGAACAAAATCTTTCAGAGTAACAAACTGTGGGTTTGCTGGTTGGTTCCAAGGGGGGATGTAATCTAAAAGCTTCATGTAGGAACCTTGACTATCCAGAACTGTTTTGCCCAGTCCAAGCAAAGCTGATTTTCTCCTAGCCGATGGTTTGGGAGTGCTTGGGTTGGAGAAAATGTGAGCTGCCCGCTTGGCTAAGCCATCAATAGCTTGAAATACTGTAGTGGCTTGTTCATCGGATTCAAAAGACTTGTTTATTGATTTTCTTCGTTCGTCTCTGGTCCACAATGCATCCACAAGTCGTAAGGCAGCTTTGAGCCTGTCTTTGTTCCTTCTATCTGCACTGAAATATTTGTGATTCACATATTGAAACATGGACTCCAGCATAGGGTCTGTTCTGAGCTTCTTAAATTGGTCTTCTTGATAGAGATCAATTAGGATGTTCTTTACAAATCGTTCTGATGCTGTTGTTCCCCTACCATTCCTTGCAGGTTGAGTTCTACTTCGTGCTAGAACAAATGGAGCTGCAACCCGAGGTGGTGGTGGTGGTGTGGACGTGGTGGGCCTGTATTGGTTCAGGTCGATCAATGGGTGGAGGAGGAGGGTCGATGGGGGGAGGTGGGTTGATGGGTGGAGGTCCTGGAGGGGGAGGGGGTGGTGGTGGTGGTGGATTGTTGGGGGGCCCTTGATGCTGCCCATTTGTCAAGTTGAGATTTGCAAGACAGTTTGAGATCTGAGCTACTCCAGTAAGGATATCTGGAATACTTCCTGTGCTTCTCTGATGGTCAGCTGTGAGATCCTCAATCTTAACTTTGAGTTCACGGATTTCCTGTCTGTAAGCCAGCAACTGTGCGTGTGTCTGATCTCGTTCCCTGACCAATTCGCCAATGGAGCTAGTCAAAAGAGCAAGTTGGTCAGATACCGATGGCCTTCCTGCTGGGTCTTCAAGGTGCTGCAATGGTCTATTGGCCACATCGTCTTTATTTTGCGAGACCAGGATCGAAGTTTTATACTGGCATTGCCAATGTTGCCGGCTAGGCCAGATAAGACGGTAGCACTTTGCATTTTCTGCACAAACCGATGACCACTGCCATACTTCTGTTCACAGTATCGGTAATTCATAATCATCACCCCTGTTACCACAAGAAGCAATTGGCGATGTCTACCATTGGGTCCACGGAACTCAGGCAATGAAATCATGAAGAGCTTGTTAAGCAGGGCTGTGAATTTGTTGGCAGGCAGAACCTTGGATTCATCGGCATCATGGAACAACACAGTGACATCGGGCAAATTGGGAATTGTCCTTGGGTTTGGGAAACCTGCCAATGCCATTATTGGAGGCACAACCGAACAGAGATACTTCCAAATGTAGTGCTCACAATTGAAGCCCGTTTTCCACCCCCCCCCCATGAGCCACAGCTTCCTCGAAGGTTACAAGGTTGTTCCATTGCAAATCAGACATGGCTCCACATCTGAACGATTTCACTGAGTAAAATGATTTCAATTGCTCTGGAACCAAGGTTCTAATTGCTGAAGTAAGCTGCTTGGCTACGTTTGGATCCGAAATATCGTGCAGATCAGGATGTACAAATTTTGCTCTCCGATACCTTGGTGAGTTGGGGTCAAAAAGGTCATGGTATCTCTTGAAAGACCATTATCGCAAGACCAAAAGCAACCAAAATTGAATAAGACACAAAGCTCGGGATGTTCATAGTCGACAGTGAAACCCGAGACGCTTGTATTGCACGTCTTCTTTTGGAACCACTGGTTGAAGCATGTACTGAAGCTTGGATCAAAGTACATCTTATCATACGTAAGGAACTTGATTTGCCCTCCTCTGCCTATAGCTGAGAAAGTACAAAGCAGTTTGTTGGCTCTTGTGAATTCTCCCCTCACAAATAGTGTTTTGCCAATAGACAACATGTCAACGGATCTAGCCATTACTCTCAGATTTTCATCTGGAAAATCGTCTGCTGGCAACAATCTGGTTCTTTGGGAGTGCTTCCTGGGAATGGGAAATGTTTCTTTGAAAACATCCGATTCACGTGTTCCGATCATTAATGTCCTACTATGGTTGCTCTCCAAAAGGGCAAGCATTTGGTTTACTTCCTCATTGGCAAAGAAAGTAGGCCCATTTCGGATCAAGTCGTTTTGACCGAAACGAGCTCGAAAATCATTTACAATATGTCTAACATACTTCTTCAAACCAGAAGCTTGGTTTGGCTGGTTGTTTGACTTAAGAGGAGGGTTGGAACCCAGAAGAGAGCAGAATGTACTAACCAAGGTCAAGCCATTGTCTCCCACCAAATCGCCAACTCCAATATGGATATACTTAACATCCATATATTTATCCCATAACTTAATAGCAGCATTTATACCTGCTTGTCTATTGGGGATGGCTCCTTGCCTTTGCCAAGTTACCAAGTCCTCTTCTTCCTCAGCCATTGTTGTTGCTTGTGTGCTTGTATGCTGACATGAAATGGTTGGGCAGTGCGATGATTCAAACAGCTTACTAAAGAGTTATATGACACTGGGTGATGTCATGAATCCTGCATCGTAATTAAAGACTAACTTTTTCCCAGTTCAGCTGGAAAATCGCACTCTGTATGTAGGCCAGTACTACAAAAAAGGCTAAAAAATGGGCAGATGTGACACCTGCCACCAAGAGCTCTGCAAACCACAAAGCAAAATCACACTGTTGTTCTTGCTTCTGCTGTTGTTGTTGCTGTTGCATCATTCCTTCTACCAAAGCTCTCTTGAATGGAAGTCAGTAATACCCTTAGAGTGACACCTTTCATGGACTGAAAGAGGACCGATTGCCATGTCGATGTTGTGTGCGGAATGCTGCTCTACTGCCATAAATTTTGTTGTTGTTGCTGTGTCTGTGGAATGGATATATAGAGTGGTTCTGGTGGACTTAGGTGTCCCCTCCTCCTTCTCCTCCTGTGGGAGCTCACCGCGCATCTTGTTGCGCTGCTCGCAACATGGATTTTTCTGAACCGATGTGACCTCGCGAATTCGCGAAGTCTACCGGTATGTCTCATGAGTCAACAAAGAATGATCGAATCGATTCAGAACTCAAAAGAATGACAAACCATGGTACCAAGCTACTGGCTACAGTACTACTACTAGTAGCTAGCTATCATACATGTACAGTAAAGGTATAACCCCTCCAACAAACCAGGAATACAACCGTGTACATGGAGTACCAGGCTCTACGTATTACCCTGTCTTTCCTTATGTTTGTGGGTGTTTCTACCTTTCTCGACCTTCTTCCAAGCTGACTGGAACATGCGAACGACCTGCAGGCTCACTGGAACATCGTCACTGGTATCAATGAACGATCTTTCGAAAACACACTGACGCACACAAGAGGAAGAAAGTCAATCCAAGCAAAAGATCGCAAAGTGATCGGCAGAGTGGAAAAGCACATGAAAATCGCAAAGTCCTCGAAAATGCTAAGTCCACGAACGGCAAAGACAAAGTCGCTCAGATCACACACAAACAAGATAACAAAACACAACAAGGAAAAACACAAAACACAAGTCACAAAAAATTCTTAAAACTAAAATGAAACATATAAAATTTGTTTTTGTTATGCCTACAGCAGGATCGCGCTGTAGGCTGGGGACCACCAAGGCAGCTCAACGCAAGCGTGGGTGGAAGCCGGTGGGCTAATTCTTCTTGTCATGCTTGAACTTGTTGATGATCTGGGTGACCGTAAGCCACCCGTAGGTGGCATAGATACGGTCGACCGCAGCCCTCCAATCGAAGCCCTTGGCCATCAACCGAATCACACAGTCCCACACATGCTTGCGGCGGCAGAACTTGTCCTTTGACGCGGCCGCGCTACGAGCAGTAAACTCCATGTGGCCTTGTTCCCGTCAGGCCCTTGATCCACTCGTCCCGACAACTCGTAAGAGGTTGAAAGGCTTCTTCGAAGCTGTGCTGGGAGGGGTAGCGGGTGTCGGCGCCCTTGCGGCAGGAGGACGGGCCAAACGCCCAGGACTCCTCGGTGGTGGTGGGGTGAAGTCCTGCGCCACCCTGCGCCACTCAGCAGCACCACCACGCCAGCATCCCCACACGCCGCCAGCTCCCGCAGCACCACCGCCCACCGCCAGCCCTCCACCGGCCGCGAGGAAGAGGAAGCCTTGGAGCACGTTGCCACCACCCCTCGCGATCAACTGGAAGTGGTTGATCCTCCCAATATTCTGTTCACGATGGCAATGTTCATAGAGACATAGCCCCTCAAGGAGCTGATGTCCTGTGCAAGCATCTGCTGGGCCTCCTCGATCGCCTGCTGAGTCCTATGTTGGAGAGCAAGAATTGGTTGAGCTGTTCCATGTATGACACCCCAGGAGCAACTCCGACCAAAGGGCTCAGCACCAGCTAGTGGACCTGTGTCGGTGGGAGCAAACTCAGTAATGTGCAATACATGTGGCTACCTTGTAGATTGTCAGAGGATCTTGGCCCTGGGTTGTAGTCGGCCCCAGGACCTCAGTCAAAGTGGTTCGAAGCTGTGGCATACTCCGTCTGGATGCGGTTGCGAATCTCAGCCGTCAATCATATGCACCAAGCCAGGTTCCATCGCATCCCAAAGCAGGCTGGACCAAGCACCATGGCGATGTTGTTTGGCTTGGGTCGTCAGCGAAGAAGTCACAGACTCTTCGGACAAACCATGCTCACCGACTGAACCCATGGTCCACACCGCTGTCAGCCTTGATGCTGTACTTGACGGGACCACCAACAGCGAGCGTTCCAGCAACCTTGGCGTCGGTGGGAAGCTGCTCCAAGTTGATGTAAACATGGATCGATGTGTCCATTTTTCTTTCCCTTCCGCGACCCCGACGTCCTCATTCGCGGCCTGGGTGATGCCACACTCAGCAGCGTAGGTTGGGCGGCAGCTTGCGCACACTGTGGGTACCCTCGAGGCTAACCCTGGACTGAGCGCAAGCTCCCACGAACTCAGGGTCCTTCCAAGCCTTCTTCAAAGCCACGTTGGTACCAGGCGTTGACTCGGTCAGTCTCCGTCTCAATCGTCTGTCCCATCGAGCTCTTCGCGTTGTCCAGAGCTTCGATGGCGGCAGGAACGCTTCTTTCATCGTCGACACGGTAATGGCCAACAGAACTTGGGATCACCGTGTCCCCTCTCAAGAAGAGTCTCGATCCAAATAGCCAAGGCAATCAGGACACAAAAGTCAGGGTCAGCGGCACCCAGCAAGATTTGGTTGGGACAAGCACGCCCCTCCTGGACATTCTTGCCCCAGGATACCTTGGTTTCAAGAGCGAAGTTTGGAAACTTGGAGTGTGCTGCGCAGATCACAAAGTCTCCATGTTGGTCAAATCATCAGTGCAGCGCAATCAAGTGAAACTGAACCTTCAACATGGTTGGGATCTTGATCGTCGTGTCAATGTTCGCTCCTCCATCGCGTTCCACATGCGAATGGTCTTGCGGAATTCCCGGATCTTCAAATCCCTCTTGACATTGGATTTCCCGCCCTGCTTCCTCGACCTCAGCCTTCTTCACAGCTTGATCACTTCATTGCACAACCTGGATCGAGTGGGATTTCCAACATTGGGACCAACAGCCCATGATCGTGGCGGTTCGGATGTAAGTGGCTGTGGCCTTCTTGTATTGTTCAAGAGTGGTAGATCTCTTGTGGGGTGGGACGGATCATTTGGGCCCTGCAGTGATCTTGTCCATATGGTGAAGTTGAGGAACTGGGGCGACATCAAGTAGGGGTAATTTCTAGTAACTCCTCCTGAAGAAAAATGAAGAAGAGCGACCATGGTGTGGCGAGCGGCAGAGTGAAATCGTGGAGCGATTTGGCGAAGGAGCGACATACCTGTGTAAAGTTCTTCCTGTTATTATAGTGACGACCATGCTCCAACCCATAAACACTGGCAACGCCGGCCGGTACTGATGATCAAGTGACTTGCGCTTCCTGCCATGGGTTGACAAAAGAGTACAACCGGTAACGGAGTAACAAACGGTAACAAAAAGCGATAAAACGTGAGTAGAAAACACGAGAACAAGAACGTAGCGAGTAACAAAATAGCCATAGCTTTCGCCTTTTTCGATACCCAAATTTGTGAGGATCGATTTGGAGAGGAGGAATGAAGAAACTGACTGCCTCCGACACTCCAACGGCCAACATCCTGTAGGCGGCTGTAGACTTGGATACAATATAGTTCGCCTACCCTGGCATACATGCGTTGGTTCGGAGCGTACATCTGGTGTCGTTACCCCCTCTCTCAGTACTAGAGAGAGCGTTGCCGACCCTTAGGTCTTTGAGTTTCGCGGTAACTTTGTGTGTGACTAGTTGTTCTTCGTACGATTGAGGTTGTATTTTGGTAAAGATATCTTAGGCGAAAAGTTGTATTTTGGAGTGCACGATACGGAACACCACATACTGATTTTGAGTAGTATCGGATACCCTCAAATGCCTGGTTCTCCCCGCAAAATACTCTCAATGTCCAATGCGTATCTCTATACCCCAATAATGATATTCTTACTTAGCACTGATTAGGGGGAATCGGTCACTGCCGGCGCTAGTAAGAGTACACCCCAAGTCCCACCAGCGCATACAACTCCCCCAAGACTGATACCCTCTATCATGTGACTACGGTTGTATATTGGTAATACAGTACTAGTAGTACAACTGCAGCTATCACGTCTGTATTCTTGCGGAAGCAGCTTGCCCTGGAGGCTATTGTGAACGATTCGATTGATTGTCATCATTCATCCATCACGCTTTCGTCCCAAAACTCTTGGCTTCTAAAGAATGATTGGTGAAATTTGTTGAATCCAATCGAATCAAATCAAATCCAATTGAATCTAGCTGGTTTCAAAGGGGGAGATGCACCTTGTGACTGTTTCTTGATTTGTACAGTATTGTCACGAGCTTGAAACTAAAACGTAAAATTGACACCAGTCCTGAAACTGGCCTGTTTCCGGACGGTGCTCCAATCACCGAAGGATTCGATTCTTTTCTTTTGACGCCTTGGAAGAAGCTTTCACAACAGTAAGGCTTTCATGACAGTACGCCTGAGTCGAGTGGAGTCCAGTCCAGTCGAGTCGAGTGGACTCGACTCCTCAGTCGAAGACCGGCTTTTTGGCATTGCTAGTCTAACTTGCTATGGGTACATGGATGATAGCACCTCTACGGATAATCTTTGTATTTATTTGAGCTTTTATTTGTAGCTATTAATAGTAAACCAAAGTGCTCCTCGAGGAGTACTGGTACTTATCACTATGACTTTCGTGCTCTGCAGCTGACGCGATTCCTATTGGAAGTAGAAAAGAACCGCTGAAAAGAACCGCTGAAAAGAACCGCGGAAAAGAACCGCGGAAATGAATCAAGAAGCACAAGTAGCCAGTGGGCACTGTCTAGCTAGCTAGTACCGCGTACTATTTCAGTACTTCCTGCTCGTTTACCTGCACATTTCCCGTAGCGAAGTTGAAAGGGCCCGAAATGGCGATTTACACCAAATTCCGATTTATACTTGTGTTTCGATTTTATATTTTGGTTTCGGTTTTATATTTAGGTTTCGATTTTATATTTAGGTTTCGGCTTGATTTTACTAGTTATTTACCATAGTAATTTGGTTTCGGTTTTATATTTTGGTTTCGGTTTTATATTTTGGTTTCGGTTTTATATTTAGGTTTGGAATTGATCAATTTAATTGGATTCTTAAAATCCTGATTTTGGGCCCTTTCATTTGCCAGCCAACGTGCTGGGCAGCAACTTGAACGATTTCTTTCCTTACAAGTATTCTGGTCATAAGTCAAAAAAGCGTTCAGTCAAAACACGCCGTTCCCACACAACAAACACACGGCAGACCAAAACTCACACACGGCACTAGCAATACAGGGAACAGCCAAGTGACAATGGAGTTCAGAGGACAAGGCGGATCCTGTACCCGTATGCCCATGGGCAACAATCAGGCAGTCCCATTAGCAAAACTCCTTTGTGAGGCCTATTTGCCTCCTCCAGCCTCAGTTGCAGCAGGCAACAATAACAACGAACCTGCTTTTGGAGGAAGAGCTCCCCAAGGAATGCAGCACAATTTCATGCTTTCCCTCCGAAATACTCTTCATGATGTATTGGATGCGCAAATTGAAGGAGACGAGGAAGCTGATGACACGTTTCTTGAGACGACTGGTACCGCCAATGAGAGGAATCCTGCTGCTCTTGCTGACGTCTCTGATGGTGGTGACCAGACTGCCTCCCAGCTCAACAGCACTGAAGGTGCAGCCAATATGTAATCATCCTCACTGTGGTGGAAGCACCATGTCCAGCCCAAGTACAAAGAGGTGGAAAACCCCAGGGGGTTATAGTTATACATATCATGGTATCTCTTGCTTGTGACATTCATTTAGACCAGTCTCGCCAGCGGTAAGGTGCATTACTAGCTAGCTAGTAGTGACTAACGATTTTGAAGGCATTGATTTTGTTGTTAGACGGCGAAAGTGACGCTTGCATGTCGGGAAATGTGACAATCAACTAGCTGTTGCATGACTGTTTCTAGCTTGACTCCGTAGGAAAGGAGTGAATAATTCCGTGTAGCATGACAGCCTTGGGGTACCGGTACAGAGTACAGAGCCCCCGCTTGAATGGCGGCTTTCAGAGCGGCGGTGATGGGAGCATCCGAGGGATATTGGATCTCTTGAGATCATGTGGTGTCTCGATGAAACGCTGACTCGCCGTCTGTATTCTGATCAAGGAGATCTCAAGCGCTGCTGCAAGGAGAGAAAACAGATGCTTATCGCAAACTAGATTCCACTCTATCTTTGTGACGTATCCTTTTCTGTCCGCTAGCTACCAAGTACCTAGACTACCGGTAGGCGCTGAACCGCGAACGAACACGTAATAACGACTGATGTCGTTGTTAGCTACCGGTACAGCACATAGCTAGTACGGACAGTACGCTCAGTTGGCTAGCCATGGTACGGTACCGGCAGCACCAGCGGTTCCCCCGGCGTTTGCTCAGCGACGCTATGTACAGTATCTACTTGGAGCAGTACGACCATACCATAGCCAAGAGAAAGACTGCCTCTCCAAAGTCCAAGTGCATGTACTTGATGGTATTAGATTATGATGTATAGTTGTTTCTACGTAGTATGGAACCAGCTAGTGGTGTCAATGCTTCACGGTCTTCCCAGTGCTCGTCTACTTCATGGATGGTGGTGGACCAATCCAACCCCCCGCCAAATCAAAGATGGGTT